TGTCTCGTTTGCACACATGCACCTTCTTATCACTTTCACTTGCACACATGCACCTTTTTATCACTTTCACTTGCACACGAACACTTTTTTCACTTGTACACGAACACTTTTTATCTTCACCTGCACACGAACACTTTTATCTTCACTCGCACACGAGTACTTTCATCTTCATTTGCACACCGACACTTTCGCACTTTTCTTTAAATTGCATACATGCATTTTTGCCCACTTGCACTTGGAGTATATATTTGCATTCAAAGACATTTGCACACCTCCACTTATATCGTATTTTTATCATTTTTTTTCACTTCACACAAACTCACACTTTCACATGGCATGCATTCCACTCATTTTTACGTCATTTAGGATTACACGTGACCTCTCCAAAGGATCATTATTGGGCTTCACAATTAATGTGATTGGCACCACTCAACCTTTGAAGAGAAATTTCCCCCATGTCCCCCTAGGTCTAGGTTTTTGCATTCATATAGACATATCCAATACGCGATACATACCTTGGGTAGAAAAAATTAGGAAAAATTGGTTTGAGTCGCGCAACTAGCCTTGGCTAGGTCAAAGGGGTGCCTTGGATTCTATCCTTGCCTTCCCCTTTGTCAAACGTGACCCCCGAACCTTTTTCTTTGGCTTACGTGGACTAGGAGTCGTTTTAAAAAGGGTTTTACTACTTTGTCTTTAAAAAACACTTTTTTGGGTGACTTGGTACACCCCAAATCTATACCAAGTGCGACTCCGTTTCATATTAAAAAACCCTTTTAAAATTTCATTTGGCCAAATCGTCGCTTTCCAAAGTCCCATGGCCTTTTTACTTTTCATTTTGCACACGTTCACTTCACACACACATCATCTCATTCAAAAAGTGGGGCGCGACAATGTTCCTACTTAACTAAGTACAATAGATTTTGTGATTTGTTTTCTACATCAACAAATATTTAATTTCCAGCAATATTGATAAATCTATCAGCTAACAGTTAAAATTTTTTTAACACTAAGTTAATCCATTGGAAAAAAAATTTATACAAATTAATCATATTGTTAGAAGAGAGAGGAACCATAAGAACAAATAATTCAAATTTATCTTTTGAGATAAATTTGTTAGGAGCGAGAAAAACTATAAGAGAAACTAATTATAAAAGAGTCAGATTCAAAAATAGGTATCCAAATAATTGGTTAATTCCCCATTAATTTCCACTCATTTTCAATTTCCACCTTTTGAAGTCTTCTTTCGAGAATCTTCTATCATCGCAACTCCATTTAAGTTAAACTTGTGATCATATCATAGGCAAATAATTCAATTGTAAAAATTGAAATCCACAAGAACACGCTCATTTCCCCCTTTCCAAAACATCCAATTTAGTCAAAGTTTATAATCATAGTGTGAGCTAAAGGTCTATTTCACTTCTAACTTCAGTTGATTGTATATTGTACTCTAAAAAAAATAGTAATAAAGAAACTCCTTAAACTTTCACCACTTAAATTTTGTATGCTGTACATAAACAAGACATTTTGAAACAAAATGTTTGAATTTTTAAAGTGCCAGAAAGCTTGTGGAATTACGAGTGACTGATTTGGCAATTTCACAAGTGTAAAAGCTAAGAAGCACCCAACCATTGGCCAATTATGTCGCTACATGCCAAACCTGATACGGATTATTTCTTAAGTTTTCCCCCACAAAATAACGTTTTTAGTCTATTTCCCAAGGATTAATTTTTTTTTTGTCAAAAAAAAGGGCCTGGCCCAACTTCAGGCCCCAACCCTTATTTGGGTTGTTGGGTCTTTTCCCATTTTGTTACAGGGACTCGAACCGTGGTGGATGCTCTAACTAGAGACTACACCACCAGGTGAGCTACCCTGGTCGGGCATTTCCCAAGGATTAATGGCTGAGGCAATTAATGTTGCAAAGTCACCAGCTATGGTTGTCATTTCTTCTTTCTCCTTTACATTTTTATCATTGAACATAGTCTTTCTTCTTCTTCTTTTTTTTTGCGCGGGGTCAGTCTTGGATCAAACCACAACTCCGACGAACCATTGAGATATTTTTCACAACCAAAGGCCCAGCCAGCTTTCAATCAGAAAAAGATGAAATACCCAGCTAAGCATTGATCAATAAAGCCAAGTGAAATTGCCAGGCAAACTTCTCCATGGCAATTATTAGAGTCTCAATGATGATTGCCATTTTCTTTTCTTCATCATTCAATACGGTTTCTTTTCCTTCTTGGGTGGAATTTTCCACATCCGATGCCCCCCCAAGCATGTGGAATGTGGATCAAAGGCAGATGAAGAATCCCGACAACTACTACACTACAAAGAAAGGTGAATTGAAAATGCCAAGCAACTGCCGTTGCAAGTTGCAACCACTGGGCCAACTGAGCTTTGGCTATGTGGAAACCAAAAAGAGATTAATTTTTTTTTAGATTGTAAATCTGGAGTTCAAATTCTATATATAATGAAAAAAATTTAATGGAGTTGTCAAATTAACTCTTTGATCGAGTCAGGTCCGTATAGTATAATCTTTTTAGGCTTCCCTCCATATAGAATAGAATAGATTAGGTTCCTCCTCCCTGCAGAATAGAATAAATTAGGTTGTAGGAAAAGTTATTGTTGTTATAAAAAAAAAAAACACTTCCATTGCAGAAGCATCCGATTCAGTTTGTCAAAGAAGCGTTGCACCAAATTGGATCTAAATTCTTACTAATTTCTTGTGTTTCAGGAACCAAATTAAATAATTAAACAAGAATACACATAAGGAATGAGAAATTTCTTGTGTTTCAGGTATCAAAGAAATTGATAAGACATATCTTATAAAGTTTGGCAAGATTTGCAACAAGGAAACATAAGTTGGGAGAAATTCGAAATAGAAGAGAAAAGGAAACTAACATTTTTTCCATAAATACATTTCTCAATCACCTTTTTACCTCACATACATCAAATCTCTACAGTATATTTTTCTACAAAAAATTCCTAAAAATAGCAATCCAAACGGGACAAGTTGCGAGGAAAACTATTTAATTGGCACTTGGGATCCTCGGTGACATGTTTTCTATGCCAACCCAATGCCACCTATAATATTACGCCAAGTGTCCTGTTATTATTTATATTTTAATTTCTAATAATTTAACTTGGTTTGGTTTAACACAAGTGTAAATAATAACAGGACACTTGGCGCAATACTATAGGTAGCATTGAGTTGGCATAGAAAACATGTCACGAGAATCCCAAGTGATTTAATTGGTGGTTAAATTTTGAATTCTTACGTGCAAAGCGATGCGCCAAATTGAGATAGGAGAGTTGATATAGGAATGAAACACTAGACGAAAGAAGAATTGAGGTTTGTGATAAATAAATGTCAAAGATATGAAATTAGTATGACTTAACCCCATATGAACTTTAATTCTTTAAGTGCAAACTTGATAATGGCAAAATGAAATTCATCTTAAAAGTACGTTGAATTCCCACAAAAGAGAGATTGAGAGACATCCAGTTTGAGGAGAAACCAGTATACATGTCCGCGTCCGCAAAAGCTAAAGAAAAAAGTTAGAAAGTAATTAAAAAAGATCCAAAATCAACTAGAAAAAGAAAGTAATAAGAAATAATATAACAAAAAGGATTAATACCGATCTGAATTAAAGACTATCAGATTTTAAAGAGAGGAGTAGAAGGCTAGGGATTTCATACCGATCATGTTATATACTTGAAACGCTAAAGTACAAAAGGTAATTTAAAATCTCAAGCCTGATTACTAAGCCAAGAAGCAAAATGCATCATAGCTAGTGCGAAAACAGAGAACATTATTATTATTGCTTCCAGTGTGGTCGCTTCCCAAAACCGAACAAAATTCAGACCAAATTATTGTATGTCATAAATTCATTTTCCAAGGATTAACCATAATGGCATGCATGTAACCAAAGCAGAATCTCACTCTCCTTTTTACGATTTGATCGTGGACAAAAACAAAATATTGGTCCTCAACCAAAAATTCTGAAGGCCCCAGCATTTAATCAGAAAACATGATGCCCCAACAACTACAATAATTGAGAAAGTTACTCTGTAAACATGCCAATGCAAAATCTTACAAATTTGTCAGAGAAGAACTCCTCGCCTACGCGGAAAAATTACTCTATATGTATTTGTCAGATAAATGTTAGATGTGTTAACAAGACAGGACATCCGTTAAAAAAATCCTATTTTATATTATGTATATATATGGTATGATATGACTTATTCCCGTATATGTACAAAAGTGCAAAATTCAATGAATGTGTAAAATGAAATTTATGCATGGGTTCCCCGTTCCCACAAGAGAGTCAGATACACCAGTTTGATGGGAAAACCAGTCTATGCATTCACTCACATGAGCAAGTTAACCAAGAAGATAAAAGAAAAACTAGGAAAATAGTTGAAACTATCCAAAATCAACTAAAACAAGAAAGTAATAAGAAAAAATTATACCCAAAACGATTAAATTTATAACCAGCGGAGCACGTTGTAGTGTAATTGAACACGTATTCACTTTTTTGTTTTTGAATTTTAGTTTGAAATTAAAAATATATAATTTATAACAAACACGCTTATTTTCCAGTTCACAAAAAGTATTGTTAGCAAAAATTAAGAATGTAAAGTGGACCCTCATTTACGGCGCTCCAATCCTAAATTATGTAAAGCTCAATCGTCAACAATATCAGATTTTTGCTTCAAAAAAGAAAAATATCGATCAGATTTAAAAAAATGTATTTAGAAGGCTAAGGATTATTTACTGCAATGTGATACATGTTGCCAAGACAGCAGTTATAATTGTCCTTTCTTGGTTGGAACAACCATGGGAGATATTTTGTTCACACACAAAAAAAAAAAAAAAATTACGTACACTGGTACTACTATCAATGCTCATTTCTTCATAACCATTTCTATTACTGCTAGACTAGATAGATTACCAGTTTCCGGCAACAAAAAGCCTTCCATAAAAAAAACCATCTTGATCTCAAAGTTGCATATCCACGGAAGAAGAAATGGCTGACGCTCTTATCAGTTCCACAGTTAAGGTCACCCTGGAAAGGGCACTGTCTCTTGCCTCTGATAGGATTGGTATGTTAGTTGGGTTCAAGAAGGATGTGGCCAGTATGACACGTTCTCTCCGGCTGATCAATGCTGTCTTGGCCGATGCTGAAGCAAAGCAAAACCAGGACGGAGCGGTGCAAGCATGGTTGGAGTGTCTCGAGGAGGTTGCTTATGATGCTACAAATGTGTTGGATGAGCTCAAATATGAATCTCTCCGCCACAAGGTGGAGTCCCGAAACCGACACAAGCTCAAGGTATGCTGCTTCTTCTCATTCTCTAACATTAATCTTGCTTTTCGTTGGAGAATGGCTTCTAAGGTCAGGGACATCAAACTTATGCTGGTTGATATCAATCAACAAGCCCGGAATTTGGGACTGGTCAGTAGGTCAGACGTGGCAGTTGCCCTCCCTGCTGCTGGAGATATAACAAATCGCAGACCGACTCTAGTGTCGCTCCAATGATTGGAAGAGCCGATGATGAATCAGATATACTAGAGATGTTGTTGAGACCAACTGAGAAGGTTGTTTCTGTTCTTCCCATAAATGGTATGGGAGGTCTAGGCAAAACAACTTTGGCTAAATCGATATACAACAAACAGCAAATTGATGAGCACTTTAACAAAAAGTTGTGGGTTTGTGTATCGAAAAAGTTCCAATAGTGGAGCTTTTCAAACTCATTTTATTGCAATTGACGGGAGAAAATTTTGAAGTGGATGATAGGAATATCATCGTTGGAAATATTCGGAATCAACTGGGGGGAAAAAGATATTTCCTAGTTCTTGATGATGTGTGGGATGATAATCAGGCAATGTGGGATGACTTCTTCGCCACCTTGAAGGGACTCAATCCAATCAATCCACCCAAAGGAAGCTGGTGTCTAATCACTACTCGTTCGCGTGTAGTGGCAGATGAAGGCTATCCCTTAGGAAGACTCCCTGGTGATCATTGTTGGTCTATCCTAAAAGGAAAAGTAGTTGACGGCGAAGAAGTACCTAATGAATTGGATGCAATTAAAGACAGAGCTATACAAATATGTAATGGATTACCACTAGTGGCAAGTGTACTTGGTGGTTTGCTGCGCTTGAGGAAAGACAAATGGCGATCAATTTTGGAGGATTGATAGGGCACAATTTGTTGTTAATTTTATGGTTAATTTCCCTCTTTGTCCTTGCCAAATATTGTTTTAATTGTTGAAATGTACTTATATTTGGTATTTGGCCCTAATTACAGGAAGTAGAGCAAACAAGTGCTAAAAAGGAGACTTTATTGATAAAAACACTCCACACATGGGAAGTTCTAAAAAGAAATACAAGCCTGGCTCCACAGGATGCTACAAAAAGGGGATTTCCTATCTTTATGCTGAAAAGGGTGGACTTGTACTAGGAGTCTTACGGGTAAGAGGAAGCTAAAAACAAGGATTACAGGGGATGGACTCTTTTCTCAATTGCGTGGGGACCACGGAGATAAGAAGCATGAGTCATTTGGGCTCTTGGAAAGAAACGTACAGAGGCTTGTGAAATGGAATTGGACTCTCAATTCGTGCGGGGACCACGGGACTAGATAGCATTTGTATCTTTGGCTTTAAAAGAGAAAAGGGACGTACAGAGAGTTTTTATCAATAGTTTTAGGATAGCTATAGTTTTAGTTTTCTATTCTTTCTTGATTCCTTTGATGGCCTGGACCTCAATTAAATTACGTGGAGATTTTCTCATGAGACGTGGCTAAGTTTTTCTAGTCAAGAACAACGGAGGATTTGGTTCGACTTAAATTGTGAGATCTAATCGATTTTAGCTTTCCTATTATTTTCTGGTATTCGTCTATCTTCTGCTTTATGTTCATATAGTTGTTTTATTATTCGATTATCCAGGGCCCGGATTCTAGATTAATTCAATAACCTGAAGCCAATTATGGTAGTTAAATCCGTAATTGTTTAATTATTCTAAACTGGTGGCAACTGGCATGATTGGGTTTGTGTCAGGGAGATAGACAGGCTAACTTAAAGAGACCCTCGTAGCGTGTTGATTGGTTAGAATTAGGTTCTTCTAATTATTCATGCAATTAGGGAATTGAACTTCTATGGTCGTACCTAGGGTTGTTTCCTGATTAGAGAAATAGTCAACGGTCGTACCTTGGCTATCGACAAATTGAGGAAGAGTTAGTTGTTTATCGCGTGTATGACAACTATAACTAATTTATCAGATAATAACTGGAATAATCCTTGCATCTGTGATCGAATTAAGTAAACCATCTCCAAAGTTGTCTCTTGGCTAGAGTTCGTCTATTATTATTTTTATTGTGATAATTAGTTATTTGAGTTGTAGTTATTTTATTTTATTTTAATTTATTCCAATAAATTTAGTTACTCTCATTTTCAAAAACCCCCATATCTGGAACTTGAGAAGAAATTAAATTATCCCCAGTTCCTGTGGATTCGACCCTACTTATCACTATCTACAGAAATTATATTTTATTTAAGCAGGTATTTATTTTTGCACAGGCTCGACACCTGTCAATTTTTGGCGCCGTTGCCGGGGACTGGTGCCAGATTAATTTGTTTCTTTTTGAGTTCATCTTGTTTTTATTTTTTTTATTTATTTTTCTCTTTTTTTTATATAGTTTATGGCTTCTAACACTCCGTATTTTGGTGATAGACTGGATTTTGTTTCCAGGGAAGGCAATGAGGCTAGTTTTTTTGCTAAGTTTGCATATTCAGAGGCACGAAACTCTATTAGAGAAAGAATGGCTGTTGCAACCTGTAAAATTTGTTATGCCAGGGATCATTCAACTGGTATGTGCCCCGAATATCAAGATAATTTGAGTGTCCCACTCAATAATTATGGAGATTTTTCACCCTGGTCTCAAACGTGGTATAACCCTAATCCAAACGGGTATGATCAAGGATGGTGGGATAACTCCAGTTATAATTATATAACAGGGCCAATGAATTTTCAGCAGTATGAGTCTCAAGAATCATCATTTTGTGTCAGGTATGTCTCTTGAAGAAATAGTTGAATCAATAGCTATTAATACATATCAATTCCAACAGGAGACACAAAGGAGAAATGAGATGATGAAGGAGGCAATGAGTAATCTGGAAGATCAAATGTGTCTATTGACATCCAGAATAAATCGATTGGCTTCTCAATTTGAAGAATTGCCCTCGAAAACCATTGTTGATTTTGAAGAAAATGAGAGTGCAATTTGCCTGACTAGTGATGAGGAGCTGCAAGATTTTCAAGAAGAGAGATGTACAGATGCAGTTGAAAAAGAAATCGAAAAGGAAGAAATGGAACCCCAACTGCAACCCATTCAAGTGAAAGAATCCAGTGAAGAATCAGCAAATGTGGTGACACCACCTCCATTCCCTAACCTGCATTTTCTTAACTCTTACTCTATGATTTCTGTTAATGAGATTGATTTTGTTATACCAGAAGTTCTTGAGTCTCATGGCAGGAATGAATTAAGAGTAGCTATGGTCAAATATCTTGAACCGTCGAATGCTCTTGATGGAGGAGTGGATGAAGAATTGCGATCAATGCTTGATTATTTGGCGCCATCAACTAGTCCATGGAAGACCGTAGCTCGTGTGCTCAAAGATTACTCCATCTATGAGGGTTACCAGGATCACATTGAAGATGAAGCATTGAAACGAGCTACAAGATTTTATCCTCCGTGAACAAGCATAGCATGTCTAGCCAAAGACATTAAAAAAAGGCGCTTTTTGGGAGGCAACCCAAATGTTGATTTTGTTATTTTTGTGTTCAATTTCTTAAATATGTCGTTTCTCACTTGGGTACTAATCACTCTTGATGTTTTCTTACTATGACCAGAATAGGTAATCTTGGCGTGCCCACGCGAGGAGGGCACGCGTTAAGCGTCTAAATTCAAGTCTCATGGTCAGTGGACGTTTTACAATCTTGGCGTGCCCACGCGGTGTTTGACGACCTAAAAACAAAAAAAAATTCAAAAATTCAAAAAAAAACATTTTCCGTTTTACACCTTCAGTTTTGGTTCTCACAATTCGAGTTTTGAAATTTGAGTGTGCAATAAAAAAAAAAAAATCTCCCAAAAAAAAAAACTATTTTTTTTCCCTTCTTTCTTTTCTTCTTTCTTTCTTTCTTTCTTTTCTTTCTTCCTTCTTCCCCGCTGCCTCTGTTTCCCCAATTCTTCCTTTTACTCGCACGCCTCTGCCTCCAAGCCACCATCGCGCGCCGCGTAACAGGCCCACCGCCAGCCGCTAGATCTCCGCCTTTCTCCACCTCTGAGCCGCGCGACCTCAGCCGCGCCTCCCTCCAGCTCCAGCTTCACCTCGTGTGCCACCAGCTCTTCGCGCGCCGCCACAGCTCGTCGACGAAGCCCAAGCTGACAGACTTCCGTCGACGGCCGCCTCCCTAATTATTCCTCCCTGCCGCAACTCCTAGCCGCCACAGCTGCCGACAGAGACCAAGGTTGCCACCAAGCTCCCTCTGCTCTCTCTCCACTTCACCCACAGCCCACGGCCGAATCTTCACCTGCGCGCAGCTCCTCCTACCCACTCGCTCCACCACCATCTCGCGGCCAAGGCTCGCCGCGCCTCTCTCCATACGATGCCACCAGCCGCCTGCCCACGCTCCGCCTCCTCGCCGAACTCTTTCTCCAGCCGAAGCCCACGAGCCCACAACCAACACGCCGCGTCGCTCCTCCCTCGCCTGCCACCACCACGCGAGCACCACCAGCTTGCCACCCTTTCGACCACCGCCGCACGCCAACAGCCCAACCTCCCTGGTGCCAGGTTTTCTTTATTAATTTTCTGGTCCCCAATTCCAATTTTTTGATGTTGATGGGATTTTGATGATTGCGATTTCATTGAGTAATTTTGTTTGGTTGCATCTGTACTGGAGCAGTGGGTTAAGTTATGTCCTGCAGCTGATTCGCCTGGTTTGATATAACTGTCGTTTGTTTAGGGCTCTCGAGTACTGTCTGAAATTGTTTGTATTTCTTAGTGGCTTTGGTTGGCCATTTGATTTACTTTTTCCTTGAGCATTTACCAGTGGTACTGGTGGCAGTAGTTTGCCTCAATTTCTTAATCTTAAGTGCTTGACTGCCTAATTGACTACTGGCCTCTTGTGCTTAAAGTGTTGCCAGGATTCTGCACTTCGGTTGCTGGAATTCCTCCTCTCTGGGGTCATTTGCTATTTTTAGTAGGTTGAACTGGGTAATTGACTGTCCAATTGGAGACAGCTGTTGAGATTTTGGGTGAATTGTGTCCAATTGCTGAATTTGTTATTTTGATTAGCCACTAGCACCGCTCTTAGTTGTTCGAGTTGTTGTTTTGTTGCATTGTTGGGAGCTGTGTTCTGGTATTGTGGGGTACCTTCTGCGTCTGTTTGTTGAATTGGAAGGCTGCTGTGTCCCTTCCTTTGCTTATTGCTAATCGATTGTGCCTAATTGACTTGCTTGGTGTATTCTGCCTCTTAAATTCAAGTCCTACATCTTAGGAGCATTCGTGCACTTTTGGACTGCATTGATTCTGAAATTGACTACATTGGGACCGCAAGTGCTTATTGATTGCCATTGCTATAAGTGTTGGGGTATTTGTATGTCCTCTGGGTGGTTGAATTGTGCATTTTATTCATTGGGTTGGCTTTAAAATTGTTATTGCTTTGAATTCCGCCGTTCCATTCTTGTGTGGCAATTGCAGTCTCTTGTTACTTAGAGTGATATCTAGAGTCCACGGTGAGGCCACGAATGGCACGAGCTCCAGATGCGAGTTAAGAGACTATAGACTCGGATGCCCCACATTACCGTCAATCTCATAACATGGTGCAGAATTGGGCAGTACCCCGCCCGACCCACCCCTGTTTTGACAACTTCAGGGAAGTACCGTTGCCCCTCTCATTCCTTCTGCTTTTACATTATCACATTGAGGGCAATGTTCATTTAGGTGGGGGACAGCTGTGGTACAGCTAGTATTTCTAATTTTTAGTTTTTACATGTTTTCCTTTATTTTTGTTATTTGTTCTATTTTTCGTTTATTTATTTTATTTTATTTTCTTTTATTAGTGGTCAGCTCTTATTTGAATACCAAGTTTGATACTGGATTGTTGTCTCTAATTCTGTTATTGCCAAGTTTATTAATAAAAATGTATCAAGTTGATGTGGTTGAGTTCAGGAACATCTCTTTGGTGAATATCAATAATTACTTAACTTTTCCAATTTTTAGTTAACTTTTCTAGGCATAGGGAATGATTGTTGGCATTTTTCATGTGAATTGGTCCAATTATTAATTTTAGTTCTCCATGTTTGGAAATTTGGGCTGACTGCTGCTATTTTTGTGTTGTTTTTAGTTATTGTGTTATATGGTTATAAATAAGAATTGACTGTGCTCCGCTAGTTGCTACTAC